ATACCTCTCTATCTTCCTGAATTCAGTTGAAACATAATGTTCAGCAAAACGAGAGTATTCAATGAATCTTTCGGTATAATCTCAAACTGTTCCATTTCCTTGTTCTAATTTCAGGAAATCTTCCTCCATTTGTCTCACTGCTGTTTTAGGACAAAATTGATTCTTAAATCTATCCACGAATTCTACCCAAGACAGTCTGTAAAATATCTGTTTTGGTAGACGATTCAACTTCCCACCAGAATAAAGCATTTGACTTAAATACAGAAACAGCAAATCGAACTTTATCTGTTTTCGGACAACGAATGGTGTTGAACACAGATTTCATCTCCTTAATCCAGCACATAGCTTTTACTGGATCTCTCTCCCCAGAAAAGGTTGGTGGTTTGCATGCCAAAAACATCTTAATATCTCCTTCTTTGATGTGGGTGATTGAAGTAGAGGGATGAACTTCCTATCTTTCCGTTTCTACCATAGCCGGTATTCCCATAATAGATGTCAGAGTTTACCGCAACTTTCCCATTTCTTCTGCCAACATATCCCTGGTTATATATTCAGGATGTGGTACCGATCTTTCCTGAATATTCCCAGAGTGAGATTCTTCATGTTCAGAATGTATTCCAGTCCGACCCCTTCCCCGAGACTGACTTCTTCCTCTGCCTCGTCCTCTTACTCTTCCCTGACCTCTATTTTCAGATGTACTAGTTGGTAGATTTATGGGTGATTCTTCTCTTTCCTCAGATTCTGGACGAGCGACTCTTTCAGATCTTCTTGTTCGACTAGACATCTGTAGAGTTTAGTGTTAATAATCACGTATTCACATTCCCAAATAAAATGAAGTATTCAAGTTCAGATGTGTACCTATAAATTCATAATTACACTGGCCAGATGTAATTAAAATTTACCTTACACACAGTTCTTTTAACTCATCATATTTATTTCCAATGGTGCTAACTATGTCTGGGACCCTTAACATGCAATAAAACAGTTTAAGTCTAGGTATCATGCTGTTGAATACCTAAATCTCTTAAACTCAGGCTCTGATACCACTTTGTAACACTCCAAGCCATACATTGCATGTAACACATATTCCATACAAAAGAAATACATGATATCATTCAATTCAGGTCCCTTAGTACAAGAATCTATTATGACCAAATACAAGGTCTAAAATTTCAAATACATTACTTGTACTAATTGATCAAAACTGTACAACAAAACAGATCTTCAAGTAGAAATGCATATAGGAAAATATCACATTTTCCCATTTCCCTTATCGTCCATACCTCCTGCAACACATAGTTAAAATCACAAAACAAGGGTTAGACCGAAAAGTCTAGTGAGATGCCCTATTTATGTTATTGTTGGGTGAAAAATGGAAAACAACATTTCATATATATAACAAATATATGAATAAATAAGAACATAATACCAGATCTTTTCCACATTTCAAGCAAAGCTTTTCGCTATATAAATCCCATACCTCAGAACCAATCAGGTTTCACATAATGCCACTTTTAAACCTTTTCAAATCAAAACAAGGTTTAAATAAAGTTTCAGGCCAAACCTGATGTTTTCTCCTCAATAACATCCAGACTATGATTTCCAATAAGAACCTTGATCCTAAATCTTTAAATCACAAA